ACTTGTTCCGTGCGGGATTCGAACCCGCAGCCCCCAGCGCAACAACTCATTGCTAAGCCACTGCGCCACGGAGCCGTCGTAAGGAGTAATGTTTAATAACATTCTGGCTCGCTGTACTCATCATATTGTAATAAATCAGAACATGCACTGCTGCATGGCGGCAGGATGTAAGAGCGTAGTATCTACCCAAATAGACTCCTAGACGAAAAAGAGCCCTACCACTATTGTACAAAAATAGTGATCTAAATGCTGATCTAAGAAGTTCAGAGTACTTTTACAAATTAGCCTATAAAAAGCTTGACGTGCTTTGTAGAGCAGAACAATATTTCATGCCGACACACCGCTTGCAAATTTTAAAGGCGCAAGTTTGAGCTCACGTGGAATACTGTTCTCACCTCTGCGCCGGGGCCACTTAATCGAATCCAGCGCAGAGCGATTCGAATCCTCGACGACCGAGTTCTTCCTTATCGGTTTGACTCACTGGTGCTGCGAAAAGATGTTGACTCCCTTTGCGTTATCCGTCGCATTTACCACGGAGAGTACTCTGAGGAATTGTTCAGACTAATTCCATTCGCCCAGTTTCACCATCGCGCTATCTAAACAGTCTGGACGATTGGTGGTGCGGTGCACCACTGTGCGATTCACAAGAAGTTTTCCTCGCTCAGCTTACTCGTGGAATTTTCAGCAAAAAATCAAACCGATACGACTTAGAGGCCTTCAAGAAAAGCGCCTACTTTTTTTTAAATTACCGGCAACGCATCTGCGATTTCCCTGGTGTTGCAGTTATTAATGGCCGGCGGTAGTCACTTACCATCAGGTCAGCCGCATGCTCGTTTGCCCCTCTAATATCAATCAACAAACTACAACATACCATATACGTGTATTTTTTATTATGTACGAGCAGCTATGAAGGTCTAGAGAGACCAGTATCACTGCTACCTAAAATATCTATTGTTATCGCTGCTATGTCTACAGTTCACTGGTAAGCCCTACGTCCTCAATGAATAGAAGGAGTTGCATAGCTGTGAGTAATTTCACTTCTTCTGGGCGAAGTACATAGTTTTCCAGATAAGTGCTGCGTTTGCGCATTAAGGGTCCGCAATTTGTCAGGATGTGTGAAAACGTTTCCTTCTCTAGGGAGTAAAACCAGACCATCCTTGAGTTGCTTAGTCCCAGGATGGACATGTGTTACACAATTATCAACAGCGCTACCTATCATATCCTAGCATAGCTATGCATAACCATTATCTTAAACGGCCCTCACATACCACGCCAATGTGGGTGTAAAACTGTAGAAACACGTTTAGACGTGCAGTTTGATGTGCGCATAGCATTACCAGCGTACTGATGCGCGCGCCGAATTGAAAGTTCTATTGGCGCAAAAAAAAAGCGTACGCCATACCGCCGCTTCGAAGTGCATACATGTACATCATTTAGAACGTCACGCCGCAAAGTGCGCTACGAAACCTACGTGCAAATGCGAAGGCTGCTATAGGTGAAGTGGTTCAGAAGTTACACGACCACTAAAAGACGCACTAACAAATATACATCGTCCATTCATCTATTACAAGCTATATAAGTCTACTGCCGAACATAGGCTTCCCTATAGATTGCTTCATAGGGAGATTTCTCCATAGTTGCCACGCTCGACACGCGGGTTGGCAACTGCAGTTTTTTTATTATTTTGAGTTTTATTAGGAAGTTACTGCTACCCATCTGCTTGAGTTTCCCTCAGCCGCTTCTTACGACACCCACGATATGGCGTAGTGAATACGTCTATACATATAATAAATCTGTACAAAATTCGTGTTTATAATTCTAATATATTCTTGAATAAACAAGTCCAGGGGACTAAATAAAGGGTTAAGAAACCAAATTAGTGGTTTTTACAATGTTTGTCTGTCTGTCTGTCTATTCAGAATTCACGCAAACACTACTGGACGGTTTTACACAAAATTTTGTATGTTGGTAGTTAGTAACTCGAGACAGCTTACAGGCTACTTGTTATCCAACTACGGAACTTCATAAAAGAAGATTAAGTATGTTCCTTCCTTTAGATATAAATTTTCTACTATATCTTAGTTATAGGTGGGATATTTTTTATAGGATAAGGGTGACCAACGAACACATAGTCCACTTGATGGTAAGTAGTTGCTGTAGCCCATAGACATCTACATCTATCCTCGATTGCGAATCAAAATGTAAATGCGTTGTCAACCGTGAGGATTAAGATGGAATACCTCGTATTATCTAAAGATAAAGATAAAATTCTTATTTGTAATTCTGGCTTCCGTCACACTATTAAGCTTCTTCTTAAGCTTCGATAATTTATTTACTTTACTAAGATTACCAGCATCCCTTAATGTACATTTCATAGTAAATGAGCTTATTATTGGTATCATATCGCAGCATTTCCATTAATATATATCCAGTAGCAAGAGCCAGAGCATTCCAAGCTCTATTCCAGTCGCATTAAATTGAGATTGTGATTACGTCGTTACACTAATTTACGAAATTACCGAAGCTTTGCTAATTAGCTAGTTGAAATCAGCCGTGTGGTTTTCGTCAATACTCTCTGAAATATTCGTAGCTTTAATAAGATTATTGAAAATAGCTGTTGTATGGTTTTAGGATTTATTTATATTACATAATTTTTTTTAAATAATAATGAATATTCTTCTTTCTCTTTTTTAACTGCCTCTCTTATCCACAGCTAAATATAGCTTTTCTTAAGAATGTAGCATCAAGAATTTATTATTAGTTATCAATACCTTTAAAAGCTGTTTATTAGTAGAATTAATGGAGAATCTATAGGGCCGACAATAGATTAAGTGATATGAGATCAAAGCGAGGTATTAGGTAAAGATTAGTAAGGGGAAGGTGATGAAACATTTACATTTTAGTTTTAGTGACAATTAATTTATTTTTTTAGTCTTTTCAAAATCTGTTTGGCAGAAACCCATACCGAAAAACTGATATTTAAACAAATAAATTGGGAATTTTAAGATATGTAGTTCTCAAAATTCAGATACCAAAAGTATCGCTCATGTATTATGAATATTACACTTGTCTGTTTTTTTTTTATCGACATGAAATCCCTTTCCTAAAATATATAATTTCGAATTATAAAGATAGTACATCAGTCACGACATACATTACATAAGGTAAACATTCCTAGCGCTATAAAAATTATTAAACGACACTCAAATGCAGTGGCAATAAAATTCCGATTCGATCGACCTTCGTCAACGCGAACGAATCTGTACATAGTATACAACAAAGTCACTTCCCGCCGTCTGTACGGTTAGATTTTTTAAACTACGCATCGGATTCTAATGCAATTTTCATCAATATACAGAATAATTTAAAAGAAAGGTATAATATACACATAATATATATTAACTTCTCCTAAACGGCTAGACCGATATTGATGAAATATTGAGTGTGTGTGATTGAGTTGAAAACAGAATAGTTTAGATTCACAATTAGACCCGGTAGGTGGCGTTGTCGCCGACATCCAGAAAATAACCGTGCAAAGCCGGGGCGAATCTCTAGTTGCAATAATAAACAAAAGGCACCACTACCTCCTCTAAATTGTTACTACCTACCTCAAGCGGTAATTAATGTTTCTTAACTCATAGTGAGCTGTAGTGGCGCAAGCGATAAGCTGTCGACTTAAAATTAATATAGGACGGGAGCAAACAAAGTAAGATCTCGCCCGGTAAGAGCACCAATCAAATCGTTAATTTTGAGTGCTAATTTACCACGTGTTCAGGAAAACACTGCGGAGAACGTGCATACATAAATTATAATACACAAATTAAAAGAAAATTCGAAGACATTTGAAGTCATTGGGGTAACGAGTCTCCCTTTTAGTCATTGGGGTAACTTCCCGTGAGGATGGTTTGAGCGCAGAACAGATACCCTTACACGGACGATGCCACTCTACAACATTGATCTATTAAAGGCTTAGCCCGAGTTCAGTCCCGGCAGGGAGCCAATGTAATGAACACCTATGTAATTATACTATGCTTACTAAAAATTATGCGTGTGATTGTGTACACATGTACGAAATAAAGCTTCTTTACGACATATTATTCTACTTTTTTCAAAGTTAAGGAGAGGATTTCCGAAGTTAAACTGTTTTTACTTCTCATGTGCATCCATATTAAACTTTTTTAAACTTCTACGCTGCATGCATATTATTTGTCCAGCACGAAGTATAAACGTGCGGCATTAGGTGCACAAAAAGTTACTTTATTTGGAACGTTTTGAGAAAATAAAGGATCTAATTAAAAATATAGCCAATTAGGAAACTAATTCAATAACATGTCTTTCATATTATCGAAAAAATGATATGGTTATCGCTTAAAAAATAAGAATTCGGAAAAAGTGTTTCCCAGTGATTTAATTATAATTTTATATCTGTATATTTTCGAGCTTATACAATTTCAATAAGTATCAATTCTTGCGCGTCAAAATTGTTTCTAAAATACGATATTTTGTCCAACTTGGCCTAATAGCAGTAAGGAACTGTTTGGCTGGAGCGCTGTGTCTGTCTGTTTCATATATACACATAAATAGCAAAATTCATTTCATTTTGATGGCTTATAAATAATAATACCAAATTCAAATTCAAAATATTTATTGAAATTTAAGTGACATAGATAGATTTAAATTAATTGCACTACGTGTATGAAACTTAACCACCTTAAACGTTATTTCAATATCGAATATAATCACCTAACCTTAGACACATTATGAATTAACATAATTACATAAAATTATTAATTATATTTATTGAAAGTTACGAGACATTATGAGGTTTGACTGTTATATTTATATTAGTTATTTTACAAACAATCCAATATCGCCTAAAGCGTTAAATGATTATTTTATAGCTTTAAATAAAATATCTCTACTAAAACCATATTTGCATAGTAACGTTTATTTTATATATGATATTAAAAAAATATAGACACCTAATTTCAAAATCTCAATTACTTCTTTAATCTAAAGACAGATCTCCATGTATGATTACTTCTCTTGAAATAACCTATGACAATCTCCCCGATAAATACCAAAGTACTTATTGCATACATAATACCAATAAATACGAAAGCACCCAACAAATGTTGAATGCTTAACGGAAAAATGGCTTCCATGCCTCCAGCATTAGATCGACGCATTAACAATTCCTTATTCCATTTCTCTATTAATCCATTCTCTGTAACACGTCGTATTATTTTATTAAACCTTTCGAGCATTGGAAACCATTTCCTAGCTAAAAGAACTACACCGTATTTGTAAAGGTTATTGCTTTCTGGAAAACAATAAATCAAACGTTTACCTTTGCCTAAGTTTTGGTCTTGATATTCAGCTTGCCTTCTTGAAGATACTACAGCAAAATTCCTATCCAGAGCCACGCGACGTATTCCTTCAGAAAATGTTGTGGAGTTATATTTGCGATACAAATAAAACGAGCTTGAGTTATTCGTCTCGAAATAGGATCGGTAAATCTCTCTACCTCCAAACTGTATCCCAGATTGTATAAGATCAGATTCGCTACTCATTTGTTTTTCAAATCGGGGGTGCATTAAAAAGCTTCGCAGAAATGATTCATATGTAATACCCATGTTTAAACTGAAGTGTAGCCAACAGAATATGAGAATTCTAAACACGATCCTCTTCGGTTTGAACGAGGCACCCCATCCCAATAACATACTGAATGTCAGCAAAATTGATCTGATTGGGCATTTCGTTGCACTTTCCTTTTCTCTATAATGAAGAACATGAAATAACAACGCCATCGTAAACAGACACGCAAACGTCGCAATCCAGGTCGGCAACTGAAATATAATTACCAAATTATCCCATGTTGCAGCTTTATTTGCTATGGGTACGCACCATGTCATTTCATCTTGCGTGTAGCTTACTGATGTGTGAAACCATTTGCGTAATATTTTTGTGACCTCTATATTTCCTATCATCATATCTACTGTATTATTTCTAAGCAAACTGTATGCTCCAGTCGCAGTACCATTTTGGTCTATTGTGCCATAATTTTCTTCTTCTTTAGACATGCACATTAACAGAGTCATGTTGGTGAATTCACCTATTATTTTCACAAGATTCACATCTCCTCCTTTGTCAAATTCATAAATATTCGCGAAGCTTGTACTTGAAATTTTTTTGCTTGGGCGTAAAACATAAGGTTCTGCTACTACAACTTGTAATACTAGGGGACAACCTTTCATATCAGTAGGAAACATCTCTCTCTGTGGTTCTAACTGTTCAAAAACGTCACCTGTACATCTATCAAGAACGTAAACGGAATCACACTTAGATCCACAATTGTTGTCAGTGTAAGGTGTCCAGGAATACGAAAGTAACTCACCCTTCAACGGGTCATGTATGAATATAATAGTTCTTAGAAATTTAAAACTTCTTAGTTCGTTTATGAAATCAACAGATATTTTTTCACCTATTTCTTTTGGTCTTAATTGATAAAATACAATAGCTTTAGCGAGAGGGTTCCAGCTAGGTAACATATGTAGTTGCAATAAATTTCTCTTCAGTTCCGACTTCTCTTCTAAAATTAACATATAATTCTTCGCTTTCTCGGGGAAGAGCGACGCGTTTGCATGCGGATAGGAGGAATCTTTAACCATTACTGAATATTTCATTCCACTGTGTATCGTTTGCAATAATAACCTTTGTGTAGTGGAAGTATAAGAGTTAATATTGATAATGACAATGCTACCACTTAATGCTTTTTTCTCTACGAAATATTTTGCAGACAATTTTAAAACACATTCAGCGGTTTTTGCTGTTTGACTAAAATCCCCGCTGGTCATTAGTAGTGGATTTTCAGCCAACGTCGCAAGAACAAAAGTTAAGGGAAATAAGTAACGAAGTGAATTTCTAGCACACGTCATTATAAACTATGAGCTGTGTTTAAATAAAACTCTACGTTACTTTTCAACTAACTATATAAACAGACTACAGTCAGTTTTGTGAAACTTTTGGTTAGTTTAATGGCTGTATTTTTTATGTGTTGAATTTTTTCAATAGATTTAAACAAACAAAACAAGTGAATATAAATTATTCTACATCCATCCATTTATTACAGCGTATAAAATTCCACTGCTGAACATAGGCCTGCCTCATAGATAACCTCTTAGGTAGGATTTTGCCATAGTTGCCAGACTTGGCAGGCGGGTTAGCGAATGCAGGTTTTTATTATTTTGAGTTATCAGGTAGATATTGTTTTAGATTCCCTCTGTCGCTTTTTCGGCTACGTGTCTGTAATTCCCCTGGTGTTGCGGTTGTTCATGGGCGGCGGTAGTCACTTACCATCAGGTGAGCCGCATGCTCTTACACCGCCACTTCACTACAGGAATATCTAAATACACTGAAATAAATAAATCTTCTTCTTCTTCACCGTCTCATCACAGTCATTTCCCGTTGTATTTGCCTTTATCGTCACGCTTGGCAGGTGTACTGATGGTCGTAGATCCAAGCGTTTCGTATCTTTGAAGCTGCTTTCCATCGAAGGTCTGTATTTAAGTCTGGCACGAACAACATGGTTATACTTCCATCTATTGGAAGCTATAAGATCTTTCAGGAATATCCTATAGTTTCCTTTTCGCACAGACACCCGCGTGAAAAAATGCAGTGATTATTTCTCTTACGTCGCCAGTACCAATCTTAAGTGTGACAAACGAGAACACAGTCCACCTGGTGAGAAATAGAGGCTGTGGCCCATAAACATTTACAACTATCCTCGAATAACAATCAAAATTCAGGTGCGTTGTTACTCTGGAAATTATCTTACCAGTAAAATCGGTCTCCGCTTCTCTACTCTCACCATACGAAACACAGCAGTATTATTTTGCTATTTTATGCTGGTATTCTGTGAGAACGTGGTCCTTGCCCGAGCGAGCCAACCCATTTGTGCTGCAGCCATAATATAGTTATAGCATGGTTCTACCAGGCTTTAAACGTTTTCAATTTATTAGGTCTGGTTTTATTATTCAAGCGTAATAAAATTTCGTTGCCTTAAACCTTAAGAGAGTTAAGAAATATAAAAAGATTTAGAACATTACCTAACGTAATCAAAATGTTCAGTACTCCTGAAACAATTTATCATTTCAAATCACAAAGCTGACATTTCAAAAGTAAATATGGCTATTATCGGTACAAGTTTGAAACTACTGAACTTTAATAAAATGTCCTGAACCGTGATTATTATGATTAAGGTTGAAGAAGATAAATTGTTCTTAAAATATGAAATGACAAATGAAAAAAATTAGAAAAATTCAAAAATAAAAGTAATTGTATCCTTTTGGCTATTATTTTTTGTATAAAATATTTGAATTGATGAACTTAATACCTTTACAAATTAAAAAAAAAACTATTGTCCTAATATCATTCATTTATCTTTGTATTTTTGACATAGATTTATGAACCGACTCATTGTACACCAACGATCTGTATTAATTCCATGCCCTAATATGTAGGTAACGAGTAACAGAGTTGGTAATTTAACGATTTTGGAAAATAAACAATATTAATGTTGAGCGCTACCATTAATGCCAGGTACATGGCAACACTAGTTACCACTAGCGCCTTCTAGTATCGAGTAGCAGAACTTTCTAGTTTAAGGTCCTTCTAGAAATTTCCATGGCAGAACTTTTTTTATAGAATAAAGGTGACAAACGAGCACACAGTCCACCTGATGGTAAGTGGTTACTGTGGCCCACAGACATCTACGTCTATCTTCGTTTGCGAATTAAAATGTAGATGCTTTGTCAGCCATGAGGACTCCGGTTCTCTACACTCACCATACGAAACACAGCAGCATTAAGCTGCTATTTTACGCTGATATAAAATACCGACAACTATTCAATCGGGACCGGTAAACAACAACAGCGGACTCAAACAACATTATAGATGTTTCTACAGTAGAAAATTCTGAAAGACCAATTCAGTGTTGAGTTGGTGATATAAGCGAATACTTCGAAGCGGTACTACTGCGAACTAAAGTGATCAGTAGTACAATTGTAATTTGTTATTAGTGTGGTTTTAAGTTGTAATTAGTGTTCTGTACTTAAATTAGGTATCAATTTCGGTAATTAAATCGGCAGTTTTTAATTTTCTCGAACTCCAAGCTCGTAACATTAATAAATTAGTAACATTGTACATAGTTAAATCATCGTAATCTGGACTATTAAAAAATGATGATAATAATCATGCAGTGGCTGCGGAAGATAATCAGTCACTCCATTTCGTCCTGAGGGTGTCGGATGAGGCATCTATGGGAAATGCCAAAAATATCTTAAACTTGCGCTGGAAGGCTCTATAATCATTCCGTTCACAATAGATATAAAACACCCATATGGCAACAATTACCAACGGCCATCAATGTCAAAGGTACGATACGTAAATGAAATAAACAGCTGTGTAATTTTATTTGATAAAGAAGATATCGCCCGTGGACTTAGTAAAAGGCGACAAGAAGTTAAAACAACTCAAAGTAATAAAAAACTGAGGTTTTCAACCCACCTGTCAAGCGTAGCGTTATTATAAGCTGATAAAGAATAAGAATCTGGATTGAACGTAACGGATAGTTTTAAGTTTTTATGTAGGTGAGGCAACTTAGTTTTGGTAGCTAACACCCATTACTACAAGGGAGCATTGTAAAAATTTTGCGTTCCATTTTGACGTAAATAGAGCTGAATAACGGGCTATATATAATTTTATTTATAACTATAGCTCATACCCATTTATCATATTACGGTGGATTGTCAGCAAGTTTACCACAACGGGATAAGATATTTTTTTCTTCACCATCTGCTCGCAAAAATCCATAATTGACCAATGGACATGGGTCTTCTCCAATATATGGACAATTTTTCGTTACCGTCACGCTTGGCAGGCGGACTAACGATCACAGTATTCAACATCTCGATAACGATGTTAATATAATAGATTTTTTTTCTTATTAAAACACTAGCTTCTGCACGCGACTTCGTCCGTGTAGAAGAAAATGGTACTAAAAGGATTTTAACTAGTTTTTTACGTTATTAATTTGTAATAACATATACATCATTATGTTAAAATGTTTGAATACATAAAAAAAACAATCTTAATTATAGTGTAGGGCTTTAAATGTTAAATAAACATGAAAATAAAATAAAATGTTGTTATAGTTTATGAACACGAAGCTCGACCTTTGTTCTGGTGAAAGTGACACAAGGATATTATATTTTTACGATGAAATCGAAATGCTACACCCACCGCAGTATTTTTTGTAAACAATTTTTTTTCTTTCGGGTGCTAGTATCACCAGGCTACTCTGCGCGCTTACTCTGGAGCATGCCACATACAAGTGACCTTGGGAGAAGCAGCTTTCTCTCAAGCCTACTCCCGCTACCTTAAGAGTTTAACCTTGAACTTTGTTTATAGTTATGGCGAAGTATGCTTTGATAGGAAACTGCACTCTTTTGAATTCAAAGGGGCAATTTGATGGTGTTAGAGGGGATCCTAGTAATAAATACAGACTCTCCTCCAGAGCAACCTGTCAGTATAGTTGCCTTGATTACATTACGATGCAATGTTTTCACTTGCAATCTGGTGCCATTGCATAATTTTGGTGGATTTATATTGCACAGCAACATAACTGGCACGCCAACTCTCATTTTTAATATGTAAGTTAGGAGACCGGCAGGATTCAGTGTATTCATGAATTCAACCGGATAATGAATGGCATCATCGGTGTTTATCAATGAATGGACGGATTCATATTGATATTCGACCCCTTCAAAACAGGTCTGAGAACTGTCTGGCAGTAAAATCTCTCCTAATATGGACTCTCGTATTTTTGGAGAGGAGTTTAATTTTGAGTGAAAACGAGAGGAAGTTTAAACGCGGAGTGTGCAGCTTTACCTCCTTCCAGCAGAGTGGCAGCAATTCCGGACGATGCGACCGCTAAGACGATATCACGATTGCTTTTCACTTTGCCCAATAGTAAATTTAATAGAAAAGTCTTGCCTTTTCTACCAGGAGTATCAAAAAAAAAAGATATTACCTACACCTGTGTCGATACCAGAAAGTAAATAATAAGAAGAAAAATGATAGATATATCTTTGTTAATTAGTTAGAGAGCCTTCACTACTTGACACCAGATCTACTAAGGAATTGACATCGTAACTTGTTTTCTTCAGGTAGTCCCGGTATTGTGTAAGCCTTCAGATCTTTCAGGCTGAGGCAACCAGTGCTGCTGTAGGTTTTGTCCCCCTAGTGCTAATACAGCTTCTTCTATTGTGACCAGACCTTTATTGTAGATTTCATCGGCTAAATGTTATAACTCAATCTTTCCGTCTGTATTTGCGCAAACATGTCAACTAAAAACTGGCTTAATAGTGAACGAAAATATAGCTGATGATTATTTTCTCCTTTCCTAATTATTATACCGTAACAAAAAAACTTGCAGCAGATAACATTTTAACCGGTTTTTTGGTCTTATGATAGCACTGGGTTATAGAAATAGAGTATCCATCCTCGCCATAGCAAAACAATATGGGTACCGTAATGCATCGTATGAGGGATGGATTTCACTTATTCAATGCAATGTTTTATCATGGCTCCCAATTACAACATCCCGCTC